TTTCCCTTGCACTTTCTGCTATGTGAGGATAAAATGTTCCTCTCTTTTGTAAGCCACAGTATCAAGGTGCCATCATGATGGCAAGAGAACAGTCTTCAGTAGAAAATTGAACCTGCTGGCACCTTAATCTTAGTCTTTCTTGCCTCTAAAAGTGTGAGAAAATAAGAACTGCTGTTCCTTATAAATTTCCTAGTCTCAGATTTTTTTTTTTGTTTGTTTTTGCAGAGGTTTTTGCTATAGGGTGTGTGCACTCACCAGAAAGACAGAGAGAGAGAGAGAGATAGAAAGTGAGCAATCACTCCCCACAGGGGCTGGCCATGGCGCAGCAATCCCTTCTCTTCCATTCTCCTCTTGGGATCTTGAGCACACACGCACACATGACTGGCATGAGTTTAAGGCCTCAGGGTCCAGGACTCGAACCACAGTCGACTACATGGGAGTCCAGCGACATAGCCATTACACCAGCTGCTGGTCCCACAAATGTTCTTTCATTGTAGCACAAAAGGACTTAGGGGTATATATCTTTTTTTTTTGTTTTGTTTTGTTAGTTGAATTCTAGTAACCTACTTGGGCAATGTATCTTTGGCCTAATACAAATTTATGACTAGTCATCTATCAATATTTAGGTGTAAAGTGTGTTTACAAAACAGTGAAGAAAATTTAGAGTACAAATATCAATATATGAGTGATGATGGGGGACCCAGCCATGGTAGCACAGTGATAACCCAGTGCTCTGCAATGTTGTGGGTCAAACAGAAGAATGAGATTTGGATCGAAGGTCCACCTGTACTTGCCAGTCAGGCTGCCTAGCTGATGATGGGTGAGGAAGTGTGCTGTGAGACCCTGTTGTGGGTACTCAGTTGTAAAACAGAGTAGATAACAATGAACTTCGAGACAGGCAAATCTGACTCCCAAAAATATCCCCTAAGTAAAACCCTGAGGTAGGCAAGGTTGGTATTTTTTCCTTTTTTTTTTTTTTTTTTTGAGTGGTTTTTGCTGTAGGGCACGTGCGCTCGCCAGACAGAGAGAGACATAGAGACAGAAAGCGAGAAATCACCCCCCAGGGGAGATGGTCATGCTGCAATCCCTTCTCCTCCATTCTCCTCTCGGGATCTTGGGCATGCACGCACTCGCACCCAGCGTGAGTTCTAAGCCACCGGCTCCGGGACGCAAACCGCGGTCGACCACGTGGGAATCCAGCGACATAGCCATTATGCTAACTACTCGTTCCGGAGGCTAAGATTTGATCTAGTGGCAGGTTTAAGTTTACATGGCTAGTAAGTACTTACAGCTGGGATTGGTTTTTTTTTTTTAAACGAAAACTCCTCAATGTATTAACTTTTTGACCATTTAATCTATACCTCTTTCCTTTTCTGTATCTCCAGCATTGTACATTTTGGACTATTTCTTGATTCCATGCAAGAATGGTCTTGGTTTTCTTCTTTTACCTCCAACAGTTTCTCCTTAGCCTTTTTGACCATCTAATAGAAGAGAGTCTCAGAGCACCTTCTTTGATCCTTTGTCTGTATTTCTACTTTATATACTTTCTCTAGGTCTTCTTGTCCATCCTATGGATGCCTTCTATTTATTGTGACTGCTTATATCCACCTGTACTCCAGATCTTTCTCCTGATCTCAGATATATTTGTAAGTAATTTCATTTAGGTGTTCTATAAGTACAAAGCTCAACTTATACAAAACTGAACTTAAAGTTTTAGATCCTAATCCTATTTATCCTTTTATACACTATTTCAATGTATGGGATCTTTACATACCAACTGCTCAAGCCTGAAAACTGAAGACTTAATTATTCCATTCCCGTCTTTACCTGAAATCTCTAAGTCTAGTCAATTGTAGCTCCTAATTTGTTCAAATATGTACCATTCTCCATTTGTATGGCTGTCTTCTTATTTCAAGTTGCTAATGTCACTAGCTTGTTTTACAAAAATGGCCTCATAGCTGTTACTTCTTTTCAAACTTTTACCCCACCCTACTTTTTTTCTTCTTTTTTTGGAGAGGTTTTTTGCTATAGGGCGCGTGTGCTCGCCAGACAGAGAGAGACAGAGAGACAGAAAGCGAGAAATCATCCCCCAGGGGGATGGCCACGCCACAATCCCTTCTCCTCCATTTTCCTCTTGGGATCTTGGGCACGCACACACATGCGCCCGGCGTGAGTTTAAGCCACCGGGTCCAGGACTCGAACCACGGTTGACTACATGGGAGTCCAGCGACATAGCCATTACGCTAACGGCTGGTCCCCTCCACCCTGCTTTTTCACCTCTCTTCACTCAAAAACAGAGTAAATACAATGAACTTTGAGGTAGGCAAGTCTGATTATGATACTCCTATATTTGAATTTAACAATTCTACATTTCAGTTAAGATACAGTACAGTTTCCTTCTCATGACCTACAAGGTTCTGCATGTTCTGATCCCTGTTGATCTTTTCTGCTTCATCTTTGAATGCTGCTTCTTACTCTCTACTGTCTTTTCAGAGGAGACCTGTGAGGAGAGGGGTGGATGTCTGGGGACCATTCTCTAATGGCACTAACTTTTCTGTAAATCAGAAACATATATATTATATGTACTCCTTTTTTTTTAATATTGAAGATTTTCATTTCTTGTTTTGTACGCATAGAGAAACTCAGGTAGGGGAGATCTAGGAAAAATCACCTCATAAAAGGCAAGACAGATCAAGAATTAGAATTTTTGATCTTTATCAAAAGAATGGCTGTTTTAGCTTAAAAGGAGGAAATTAATAA